ATTAGATGTCCCAAAAAAGGTACTTAACCAATGAATATTTTATAACAATTTTTAAAAAATTTATTTAAAGATTTTTAAACTATCTTTTCCAATTGTTATCTATTAAGCCTTAATTTCTTTAGAATATAACATATGACTTTTAATAATTTTCCAGGTTTATTTAAAGTTTCTGAGTAGTCTTTTCTAATCTAACCTTCGAAGCTGACAAGCTGATAAGACCTCATTTGCATCTTGGCTGACCTGGCTTAAATTTGCATATGAAAAGACACATTTAAGCTGTGAATCTAACAGGTTGGCTCTTTCTTGAGGCTTTTTATAAACCCTTTTTAAAATCATGTTTTAACTTTAATTTTCTAGATTTCCTTTTTTAACCATAAAAATTTAGTAAGACCTGTATCCTCTCATCTGCCAAATTTTATAGAATCATCTATAGAATCCTCATGTCTCTAAGCTAACACTATAGGCTTTTGTTAACTTTTTAATTGACTGTCTCCTAGGGCTGAAACCAAAATTTTTCCTGCTAAGACATTAACTGACTGATTGGATGCTCCTTTTGGCAATGTTAAAGTGATTTTGATATTTTTTAAACAATATCCCAGGCAATGTAAATATCTCTAATCATATCTAAGGCAATTTAGGCATTTTTATTTATCCGCATTCATAAATTCACAATCACATCATGCATCCAGGTATGGCCACACCATTTATTCATAACTTACATATGTCTCACATTTCTCCTTTTGCCTAGGTTATGATCAGTATGTTGAAAAGAAAAATCCCTAATTGAAATTTATAATATAGCAGCTATAGCCAATCATTGAAATATAAGCATCCAAAATTTGTACAATTCTAAGCTTAAATATGTTGCCTTTTCTTTTTCTATAAGTCTCAAAAACAGTTTCTGTGTGGCTGTATCAATAGCATTTATATATATATGAATTAGCCATCAACTATGGCGGCATCTCCCAAGGCTGGAAGTTACCACGTGGAGGCAGGCTGTCCGCCGCCCCGGCAGCCATTTTGTCTAGCTGCCACAGACGCCTGCATGAGGTGGTACCAAGCCGCTGGCTGAGGGCCGGCAGACCTCGGCTGCTGCCATGGCTGACTTTGTCCTTAGCTCGTCTATGCCCTCTGGGCGGCTGAAAAATCTGCACCTGTATTTTGGGCACAAGCCTGATCCCTTATTCTTTCTTTTGTTGGGACTCTGTCTGACCTGGAGCTTTTCCTAAATAAGTCCAAAGCAACCTCTAGAAGGCTCTGTGTATTTCTTTCTCCCTGTGCCTTGTTTTCTGTGTAGGAATAGCTTATTTTTAACTGAAGTTCCTGTAAGGCAGCCATCATCGATAATCCCTGAGTGTAAGCTAGGTCCATATCTGAACAATTCTTAACGAACTCATATCAGTCCTCCTGTGAGGCCTTAGTGTGGTCTGACATGCATTACCAACATTATCATAGGCTAGCTATTTTATAATCAAAGTTCC